GTAGTAGTAGTAGTAGTAGTAGTAGTAGTAGTAGTAGTAGTAGTAGTAGTAGTTATGTTGATATCAGTATTATTATTATTATTATTACTTCAATGCTGAACATTTTAGGCCGGGATATCGTTGAAGCCTTGATCTTTAAAGTGGTGAAGGAAGACAAGCGAGCCTCTTGAAAGTAGTTCTAAGTGAAAATTATAGCGGTTGATTGTTCTGTCAAAAACAGCCAGCGAAACAGGGTCGGGAAAGAGATTTTTACAGATTTTTCCTTTTAAATACCACACTGGCTGGCCCAGCCTATTTGGATTTGATCAAATCTGGGCAATCCTAACATAAGAGAGAGAGAGAGAGAGAGAGAGAGAGAGAGGGGGGGGAGTGGACGCTGAACGAGGCTATCTGTGGTAAATCAGGCCAACCAAACAATCTATTTTGACAGTATCAGTGGTAATCTGCAGGGAAACTACTTCCAGTAAACCTCGTTTAGAATGTGAAACATTATTATAGATGTGGTATCAAAACTAGGTTATGATTTAGCGTTCTTATCATTATTGTTTCTTGTATGCCAGTGGGACGATAATGTTCATGATAATTGCTGTTATCAATTTTATTTGTCGACAAAAAATCAACTGATCATAATAACAACGGTTGACATCGCGCTTTAATATTATAAAGTGATTAGGTTGATATTGATGACACGAAAGGACTGCGAGTGTGCACATATATTATTTTACGTGGGATTTCAATGACAAAGTTAATCAGATAACGTACAAAGAAGGAAAAACTAACTTCTCTCTCGAAATCATACCACATAGACGAGTGCACCGTTAGTCCAGAAGTTATCATGGTGGAATACAGAGCTAGTGGCCTTGGTTGGCATCCCTAACAACAGGACATTCTTTCTGAACTTGGCTTTTTTGAGGCAGTTTTTTTTTAACGCTCGTCGCCTTTTAGACTCGATCCTATGGGAGGCGGACGTTACGTTAGGAGATTTTGCCTTTTAACTTATCCGTACGTAATTTTCTATCCCTCTGAGTTCAATTTCTGCCTTTGGAACGCACCTGTTTAGTCCAGAGTTTAGTATTGCAACTGATTTACCTGTTCGTTTTGCAAAGCATAACATAATAACATATCAAAAGGAAATAAATTAAAATGGATTTTTGTTTGAAGCATAGTTTGATCAAGAAATGTATAATATTTTCGAAAGTATGAACTGAAATAACTGGAGCAGGGCTATTGTAATACAAGCACACAGGTCGAGCTAATGATACGCCTTGTCGTAATGGCGAGAAAGATGTTGACCCGGCTTGTCGGAATGAATGAGTTGAAAAAAAGCCTTATAGTGTTGAAAAGGGTCGTTGAACCTACACAATAATCAGTATCAGTATCCACATAAATAACGGCGCGAAATTGTTTTGGAAAAGGGTTGGTAAATATATACCCAAAGAGAGAGAGAGAGAAAGAGAGAGAGAGAGAGAGACAGACAGACAGACAGACAGACAGACAGACAGACAGACAGACAG